CTGATGGAAGACGTGCTGGCGCCGATCCAAATCCTTCCTTCCTAACACATTCCCGCCACCGCAGCGAACAACATTGTATAGGAATTATGCTTACACAATTGCGGTCGTTGCCTTTGTAGACTGGGATTCGTGTGTGTCGATTCTCATTCAGCTGTACTTTCAGCTTAGCATTTACTTCCGTTTTGTCCGATATCATAAACACCTGAAATGTTCACCTACAGGTATAGAAATATGGGGAGCAACCTCCTAACAGGGGTATTTGACAAGAGAATCGTAATTCGTCGTCCTAGTGGGCGTCGCGTGCGACGTCGCGACCGCAAATGACGATGGTTCCGTCCAGTAGATGGCGACAACAGGCAATTCAGAACCGAAAATAGTCATGAATGTCTACGATGACGGGGTCTACATGAAGTCCGGTGCTCCAATCGACAGGTTAACACGAGTTAAGAAAACGCCGCGCCCATCGCCGCGCGCGCGGAGCGGCAAATTACGATTCTCTTGCCCGTCTCCCCCTTAGCAGCCATGTTGTCCCATGCGTTCGTGCTTCCTCCACAATTTTCTGCGAAGTGCTGTCGGATGAGTTATGGAGGCTACTCTTAAGGGATAGGCATACCTTCTCGATCGGTGTCATGACGTCACGGACGCGTCGTACTTGCAGATTCATCGCGTTTTCCACAACGTCGGCCATGTTTACAGTTTCGTACTTCTGCTGTTGTTGTTGCTGCTGACGCATCAAACCGCCCAGCATTCGGCGATCTATCGACATACGCATCTCTGCAAATTAAGAAGCAGTAATTCAGAAAAAGCAACTAATACACAGCCGCGTGATCACTGGAAACCATTCGCTGTACATGTGCCAACGTAAGCAGCGCCGAAGGTAGGAGAAGCCCTTATGGACCGCTGCAACTCTCAAGAGGAGGTGGGATCAGACTCTACATAAGTGTTGCGGCGGAAAGTGCACCGCAAAAGCGGCGTAAAAGTACACGGCCGCTCGGCAAAATTACCTAGTCGGATTAAGCCCGAGCATTATGGTAATGCCTTACCAACTAGCGCAGGGAGGTAACAGTGCAGTTGTGGGCTCCGCTCAAACGTCAACATTCTGACGCCGCACCTCGACTCAGTCGTCATCAGTTGTATTGTTGTTCTTGATTGCTCCTTTTATTCAGGCCTCTATTGTGAGGCTGAGCAGGCCCAAACTCCATTCAAAAGCTTGCTTGGGTCTGTCCACCCCCGATATGGTGTTGAGCACTTCCCAAATGATGAGCCTGTATCTTTTGCTAATACTGACGGCGAGAAAAAAAATTGATCTCGTGAAAGGCACCGTTCACAGGCACGGAACGACGCTCTGGGGCTGGATTGAATGGGCCCCCCCAAGTCAGCCATGTCCTTCAAAACTTCCATGCGTTGTTTGGTATCACATCCCACCCAATTTAGCAGTGATTAAATCATTGACTTGCCACAACGAAACAACAATGACAATGTTCATCGTATAGGCCATAAGTTTATTCAACAATGCCCCTACAACCCGAAAAAGGGAACAGAAGTGAAAAATGATAGCACAGACACCTTTTCCTATCAAGCAGTCGAGCAGCTTCGACAAAGGATAGCTCGCCGGAAAGGTTAGTACCATGAAGAATACCATCAGATGACGACAACGGCTTCCTATTGGTAGAGCGTACCTGAAAAAGTACAGGCCCGAAATTAGCATCTCCGTCCTATATCCTCTCCTCATCAAACGAAGCGGGTGTGACATGAAGGCAGTCCCGCGCTCGAGCAATTCTTAGGCATTCCTTGCCTTGTACAGTCGTGATCCGTCAGACTGGCCTATCCGTAATTGCGTAACTTCACTGGGACGCAACGGCGGCTAGAGAGTGGCGATCGATGCTGCATGATCAGCTGATTTCAGCGATTAATTTTTCTATTTTGCCTGTTATTCTGCTAACTAGAAGGAAAAGTGAGTTCATATTATTTACTCTAATTTAAGGTTTTATTGTATATTTTGCTTTCAGTCGCTATTTGACTGCAGTGACGGTGTTTTTACCCACTTTTTGATTTTGTTTAGGTTTTTTTGTACTAATGAGGACACATAACGACACTGCCATGGAGAACAGTCCAACATTCAAAGCACAAACAAAAAAACCTAAACAAAATCAAAAAGTGGGTAAAAACACCGTCACTGCAGTCAAATAGCGACTGAAAGCAAAATATACAATAAAACCTCAAATTAGAGTAAATAATATGAACTCACTTTTCCTTCTAGTTAGCAGAATAACAGGCAAAATAGAAAAATTAATCGCTGAAATCAGGTGATCATGCAGCATCGATCGCCACTCCTACTGCAGCCGCCGTCGCGTCCCAGTGAAGTACGCAATTACGGATGGCCAGTCTGAGGGATCACGACTGTACAAATCTATAGTCTAACCCTCAGTTACTAAGGTTGTTCCACTTTGTCAGCTTCACAGTAAAGTAAATGAAGGCGCCTTGTGGCCTTCAAAAAATAAGCTGGCAGTTTCGATGCCTAACTTAGTCGCCCCACCACTGAATCTTGAAGGCTATTCTGTCAGGAACCGATATTTACAGGACGCGGTTCGCTCGCTTTTTTTTTCTTCATATTGGATGGTTCTGTCACGAAACCAGATTTTACACCGTGTTCCTCGTTTTTTCTCTATTGGATGATATTGAGAACTGGATGACGCTAAGACGATTAGTAAGCAGAGGCGGCACGATATCGCCTTGCTGGCATGAAACGAGTAGATCTGGCGAACTCGTTCAGTGAAGCTGTCACGAGTCCTTACCTAGGGTGCTGCCGGAGTTTTTTTTGCTTTTCTTCCCTGGAGAATCGCTTGGCGATTATAGGTTCTTTATTGAACAGCACTACCCACAATATGCAGCTTACTCACGTTAATGATTGTCATACTCACTTAGTGCAGAGGACTTGAGGGATTACTTCGGAAAAGAAGATGATGAACAACGTTGGAATGACGTTGATGAGAATCAGTCGCTTTGTAACGGACATAACTAATCCACGAGTCATTAGATCGAATGTGATTACACAAATTGTATTGCAGATTGTATTACCTGTAAAAACCAACTTTTTTGCAACCTAAAAACCTAACCTAAAAAGAACCTAAAAAGAGTCTGAAATTTTTGAAGGCACATTTCACGTCAGCAGGACCAAGGCAGTAATGTTCGAGCATGGATTTGTAGATGCTCGTCATTGGAGGAGAACGGAAACTAGGGCTTAGAAAAGGCTCTCCAAGGAACAAGGCGCTCCTCGCTGCAGTTCATTCTGAACATTGTGTGAGCCCACGGAGAAGAAGCACTTAGCACGAGAGACCAAACAACGAAGGGCAAGGCTGCTTGCCTTTGTATGACATTTGCAGTCGGCGTTTTTCACCTTGAGGGGCGTAGACCAGCACGTGCCATGGGTACCTGACGCCTTCGCCGCGTTCTTCCAAATGGCTAGATGGCAGACCTTCGCAGTCCTCATTTTATCGCAGAATGTGCCTTCAATGGGTGAGTTCTCTAAATCTGACCAAGTATAATCGTGCACAGCATGAAATTTCCGTTCTCTCTTATCGGAATAATATTCGCGGCGTAGCGTCGGGTCTTCGGATTCTCGTCGTACT